TCATGGAGGAGTGGAAGAGGACTCCATGCCAAAGAGGGTTAAGGCAGTGCTGGAAAATAATGGTGGCCACACAAAATATTGACACTTTGGGCCCAATTTGGACATTTTCACTTAGGGGTGTACTCACTTTTGTGGCCAGCGGTTTAGACATTAATGGCTGTGTGTTGAGTTATTTTGAGGGGACAGCAAATGTACACCGTTATACAAGCTGTACACTCACTACTTTACATTGTAGCAAAGTGTAATTTCTTCAGTGTTTTCACATGAAAAGATAAAATATTTACAAAAATGTGAGGGGTGTACTCACTTCTGTGAGATACTGTATATACACTACCGTTCAAATGATTGGAGTATGACAATTTTCTTTTTTTCAGAAAGAAGACACTCCGCAAGGCTGCATTTCTTGAGCAGAAAATCAGCATATTAGAATGATTTCTGAAGGATCATGTGACACTGAAGACTGGAGTAACGGAATAAAGTACATTTTAAATCATCAAAATAGAAAACAGTAACTTTACACTGTCATATTTCACAATATTAGTTTTTTATTAAATGCAGCATTGGTGAGCGTAAGGGACTTTTCAAAAACATTGAAAAAGTATCAACCCCAAACTTTTACATATAAAAACTAGTACTACTACTTAGAATAAATTTGTTTCACACTTCACTCTAACAGGGTGAATGAAGATGAAACTCAATCAGGTCTTAACTGATTTTATTTGGAGGAATTCTCTGAAATGACAAAACAGCAATTCTATGCTGATTCCTAAATATTAATTCACAATCTAGGGTTCAGTTTAGGCTTTCAGACTAATACGCACTGACCTGGCAGTGAAGCGGGCCTGGACTCCACAGCATCCTGCAGCCTGGCTCCACTGCTCCGCCTCAAATAACTTATGGTAGGAAGACACTCTCAGCAGGGCCATGACAGCAGCAGGAAAGCAAGGAAAGATGATGACCGCACAAACCGGGGGTCTTTATAGATGCCGGGGCTGAGAATGTCACAGGCACTTGTGGGATCTCTCACTGAACACAAGGTGGACTAACTAGAGGAACAGCATCAGAAGATAAACTTTTCACATGGAGCAGAAACAATCCAGCTACTGCAACAGGATTGGAGGCCACTCCTTCAGAAAGCAGTTACACTGAGGCAATGACAGTTTAGCTTTGAAGAGCTTATTAAGAATTATTAACTTAGCAAGCACCAATAATAAAAAAAAATTAAAAATCCCAAAACACTAAATAATATGATCATAATGTCTTTATTTCATTGAATAAATTAGATGCCCGGCCCTCCCCCACAAATAAAACAAAGTATGTGCAAGTACCCATCTGTAAAGTACCAGAAACATCATTACAAAAACTGAATGGATAGAAAGACAGGACACAACAATAAACAAACAGGCAGGGTGGTGATCACAGCACACCAGATATCTGTGTAATGGCCATCTGCATTTCTGTTCCACTGATTCAGTCTCCTGCAATGAGGTCCTCCCAGAAACATCATCTATTGGCATTGATAAGAATGATCTCAGGCTAAAAGTGTTTGAATAAGACAGTCGAGCTCCATGGTGGTCCTTTCCAAAGCAGAAATTAGAAAAAAATAAGCCCAACAGAAAGCTCAGACACAGACAGGGGCTTGTAAACATGGCAGAGGATGTGAAGTGATTTAGACGTCTGACATCATTGGAGAACATAGAACCACAGCCAATATCATTCACAGAATTGTCACTATTTAGAGTTTTCAACATTCTCATGAAAAATGAGCAGAAATTGTAACAGCTTGTCACTGGGGCAGTACCCCAATGACATCTTTGTAACTTATTTACAACTAAAAGGTGCAGAGCAGTACCTTAAAGGGGGTACATATACTACTCTACAGGTACTAATATGCGTCTTTTAGGGTCATAAGGTACAAAGTTACCCTTTAAGGGTACTGCCACAAGCTGTTGTACACCTAAATCTACAATTTCCACACTTTTTTTTCTCTGACAGCAAGGGAAGGCAGAACAACGAGTCAGAAACTGCTTACAACTCTTTTTCCAAGTTGCAAGACTGACACAAAACATTTCCTGTGTGATTCTGAGGAAATGTTGCTAATGGACAAAGGCAACAATGTCACATGCATTGTGGAGAAACAGCTTTGGTGGTTTGTGCTACAATAATATTTAGCATTGGGGTGATGATTAATATGAGTATAACAGAGGAGACTTCCTCTTTACACACTGTAGTACAAAACCAGACTGACTGGTGCAAGAAGTTAAAAACCAGCAGAACGATCAGAATTTCCCGATGTGTACTATGAATTCAAGAGAGATAAACACACTCCGGTATGTCACTAGAAACAGAAAAGTGTACAGAAAAACAGAAAGTGTAAATGTAACATGAAATAACACCAACAAAGGACACAAAGACTGTAAACGTACACAAAATGACCCCAGTCTGGGTTAGTATCAACATTCATATAAATAGAACCACAACAGCATCTTCATTACAAGACATGACAGCTAAAAGACAATAAAAGACACAGTGAGCACATTAGCTAAAATGTTAACATCTCTGTAGCATGACAGGATCCAGAGCAGATCTGTAAAAGAATAAGACCACAAAAGAAAAAAAAAAAAACACCCGCTCATTGCCATTATTCAAGGCGAGTAAGAATTATGGGTGTGGTTGTGCAATCATAACGGACTGAAGAGGAGACCGTGTTTCTGAAGAATAACAGATAACAGATTATATTTATCTGTGGAGGACATCCAATTGCCCAATGCTGAGGACAACTGTGTATGAGACTGGAAAACATAAATAAAATGTGCGCACCACAACGGACAATGCCGGCTGATTCATCATGATTCAGATAGAACTGAGTAAAGATCATAGTCCAGACTTCTCCACTCAGAAAAGGTAGTCGATTGTCAAAGTTACCTTGTAGGAAACACTTCTCTGTGAAGGTCATTTTCGAAGGAGAAAAGGAAGAGAGCATGAGACAGATGGAAAATGGTGCTTTGACGGAGCATTTAACCTGGCAGCAGCAGTCAATTCAATCGCCACAACATGGCTTTCCTTTAGTGTAACAAAGTCATTCCTTTGAGTGCCCAGGAGTCACATTCACACACATTCAGTCAAATCTGGCCGGGAATATTAGATTTGGCATTACAGCACTCTGATTCAGAGGTTAAAACCAGAGAAAGTGGGGCTGCACATAGCATTATAGACGCTATAGTCAAAAAGATGGAGGTTTGTAAGGGTTAAAGTGTAGTTATTGATTCTACAGAAATAAACTAACACCTATTCCTCTGTAGCAGGAACAGAAGAACAGCGTAAGGTAACCAATAGGCAGTGTCTGTGCAAAACAGGCACTATCCAAGTGTCAAACTTTTATCACTGAGGCTGTTATCCATCTTAGTGCAGGGTGGCCCAAATATCTCCCAGAGGACCAGCCACAAACACACCTCAAGTGTCTTTTTGCTCCACCTGAACACATCTGAGAGAAGACACAACACCTCGTTCCGCAGTCCTCTTCCTCAGTCTTCATCGCCTCCCATCAGGAACCCCAGTATGAAGTCGTTGGCTTTCTGACGATCGTGTTGCGTCTGTTTGCCAGCAAGGTTGGGAGGTGGCCGAATGAGGAGGCTTGCGAAGAGAGTAGCTGGTGAAGAGGTACAAGAAAAGATAGAACAGTAACGCACCTGAATGTTTGCAATCTGCTGGCACTAGAGAAAGTCACCGACTCACCTAGGAGGTTGGCATTCAGGTTGTTGTCAATCGAGTGTTTGAGTAATTCTCTCAAGAAGGCCATCAGGTAGCGGAACACATTGCGATGGGCACGTGGGAGCTGAGATACTAGCTGCCGTTTAGAGGAAAACCAAGAATTAATCCTTAAACTTTATTTCTTGGTTTACAATGCATTTTGAATCTTATATTCTTCAGTGTGGCCTTTTAGATGCTTGTCAGAAGATCAATGTAAAAAATTCCACTCTAAAAAAAAATAAAAAAAAAATACAATACAAATACTGACTTTCGATTAAAGGGGTCATATGATGTTGCTAAAAAGAACATTATTTTGTGTAATTGGTGTTATGAAATTATGCATGCAGTTTAAGGTTCAAAAAACACATTATTTTCCACATACTGTACATTATTGTTTCTCCTCTATGCCCCGCCTTTCTGAAACGCGTACATTTTTACAAAGCTCCTCGGTCTGAAAAGCGAGGTGTGCTCTGATTGGCCAGCTATCCAGTGCGTTGTGACTGGCTGAATACCTCAAGCGTGTGACGGAAATTTTACGCCCCTTACCATATTGTGATGCCCTGTCCGGCCAGAGGAATGAAACAAAAACATTAAAACCCATTATAAACGAGGCATTTGTTGCATCCAGTGGGGACATAATTACAGATTATAATGACTTATACTGTCTTTTTACACGTTGAATCGTGCCGCATAAACATAAAACCATGTCTGCATTTGTGATTGGAGAAATTACAAACAACAAGCGCTACTCCACACTGCTCAAAACTCGCGTTTGAATAGTCAGTGGCAAATTTTTTAAATATAAAAAAACTTAGTCTGTGAGTCAGAACAGCCGGCATTGTAGTCTACTCTACCAGG